ATAAAATTTAACATCTCTATGGTGGAAAAAACACTGCAGCAGCCCAACACTGTGGCATTTAATTTCAGAAAGGGGAAATATACAAAAATAAGGCAGTTAGTTAAATAGAAATTAAAATGTACAGTGACAAAAGTAAAGTCCCTGCAAGCTGCATGGAAACTTTTCAAAGACACCATAATAGAAGTCCAACTTAAATGTATACTCCAAATTAAAAAACACAATAAGAAAATCAAAAAAGTGCACTATGGCTTAACAACCAAGTAAAAGAAGCAGATAAAAAGGCATCTTTTAAAAAGTGGAAGTCAGAGCCTAGTGAGGAAAATAGAAAAGAGCATAAACTTTGTCAAATTAAGTGTAAAAATATAAAAAGAGAAGCCAAAATGGAGTTTGAAGAACAGCTAGCCAAAAACCCAAAAAGTAATAGCAAATGTTTTTTATGTGCATCAGAAGTAGGAAGCTGTCTAAACAACCAGTGGAGCCCTTGGATGATTGAGAGGCTAAAGGAGCACTCAAAGATGATAAAGTCAATGCAGAAACTAAATTTATTCTTTGCTTCAGTCTTCACAGCTGCGTGTTTTTTATGTGCATCAGAAGTAGGAAGCTGTCTAAACAACCAGTGGAGCCCTTGGATGATTGAGAGGCTAAAGGAGCACTCAAAGATGATAAAGTCAATGCAGAAACTAAATTTATTCTTTGCTTCAGTCTTCACAGCTGCGGATTTTAGGGAAATTCCCAAACCTGAGTCATTCTTTTTCGGTGACAAATCTGAGGAATGGTCCCAGATTGAGGTGTCATTAGAGGAGGCTTTGGAACAAATTAATAAACTTAACAGTAACAAGTCACTGGATCCACATGGCTTTCACCCAAGAGTTCTGAAATAACTCAAATGTGAAATTGCAGAACTATTAACTGTGGTTTGTAACCTATCCTTTAAATGAGCTCTGTACCCAAGGACTGGAAGATAGCTAACGTGACACCAATATTTAAAAAAGGCTGTAGAGGTGATCCTGGCTATTACAGACCAGTAAGTCTAATGTCAGTACCAGGCAAAGTAGTTGAAACCATAGTGAAGAATAAAATTCTCCGACACATACATGAACATAATTAGTTGGGGAAAAGTCAACATGGTTTCTGTAAAGGGATATCATGCCTTACTGATCTACTAGGGTATGTCTACACTACCACCCTAGTTCGAACTAGGGTGGTTAATATAGGCAACCGAAGTTGCAAATGAAGCCCAGGAATTGAATTTCCCAGGCTTCGTTTGCATCTTGCCGGGTGCCACCATTTTTAAATCCCCGCTAGTTCGGACTCCGTGCCCGCGGCTACATGCGGCATGGAGTAGGTAGTTCGGATTAGGCTTCCTATTCTGAACTGCCGTTACTCCTCATGGAACGAGATGTACCGGTAGTTCAGAATAGGCAGCCTAATCCGAACTACCTACTCCCCGCCACTGCCGTTACTCCTCATGGAACGAGATGTACCGGTAGTTCAGAATAGGCAGCCTAATCCGAACTACCTACTCCGTGCCGCGTGTAGCCGGGGGCATGAGTCCGAACTAACGGGGATTTAAAAATGGCGGCACCCGGCAAGATGCAAATGAAGCCCAGGAAATTCAAATCCCGGGCTTCATTTGCAACTTTGGTTGCCTACATTAATCACCCTAGTTCGAACTAGGGTGGTAGTGTAGACATACCTCTAGAGTTCTTTGAGGGGGTCAACAAACATGTGGACAAGGGGGATCCAGTGGATATAATGTACTTAGATTTCCAGAAAGCCTTTGACAAGATCCCTCACCAAAGGTTCTTAAGTAAAGTAAGTTGTCATGGGATAACAAGGAAGGTTCTTTCATGGACTGATAACTGGTTAAAAGACAGGAAACAAAGGATAGGAATAAATGGTAAGTTTTCAGAATGGCGATAACTAGTGGTGTCCCTCAAAGTCTGTCCTGACATGAATCTTATTCAACTTATTTATAAATGATCTAGAGAAAGGGTTAAACAGTGAGGTGGCAAAATTTGCAGATGATACTAAGCTAGTTCAGGCTGTGAGGAACTTCAAAAAGATCTCACCGAACTGGTGTTGAAAAAATAAATAAGGAAAAGTTATTTACTTGTTCCTATTATACAATAACTAGGGTTAACCAAAGGAAATTAATAGGTAGCAGGTTTAAAACAAACAAAAGGAAGTTTTTCTTCACTCAGCGCACAGTCAACCTGCGGAACTCCTTGCCAGAGGTTGTTGTGAAGACTAGGACTTTAACAGGGTTCAAAAGGAACCTAAGTTCATGGAGATTAGGTACATCAATGGCTATTAGCCAGGAGAGGTAGGAATGGTGTCCCTAGCTTCTGTTTGTATGGAAATGGATGACAGGAGAGGGCTCACATGATGATTATGTGTTGTGTTTACTCCCTGGCTGTGTCTAGACTGTCAAGTTTTTCTGGAAAATCATCCGCTTTTCCGGAAAAACTTGCCAGCTGTCTACACTGGCCGCTTGAATTTCCGGAAAAGCACTGACAATCTTACATGAGATCGTCAGTGCTTTTCCGGAAATACTATGCTGCTCCCATTCGGGCAAAAGTCTTTTTCCGAAAGACTTTTGCACAAAAGGGCCAGTGTAGACAGCAGAGATGTGTTTTCTGCAAAAAAGCCCCGATCGCGAAAATGGCAATCGGGGCTTTTTTGCAAAAAAGCACATCTAGATTGGCCACAGACGCTTTTCCGCAAAAAGTGCTTTTGCGGAAAAGCGTCCGTGCCAATCTAGACACTCTTTTCCAAAAATGCTTTTAACGGAAAAGTTTTCCGTTAAAAGCATTTCCAGAAAATAATGCCAGTCTAGATGTAGCCCCTCTGTGGCATCTGGCATTGGGCACTGTTGGCAGATAGCATACTAGACTAGATGAACCTTTGGTCTGACCCAGTATGGCCGTTCTTATGTTCTTATAACCCGAACACCCCCAGTCCCAGACTTTCCAAAAATAATGTGCCCTGCAATATCCAGCCCTTTCCTGGAGTATTCAGGGGAATAATAGGGTTTGTGCCTCTGAAGAGACAAACGGCATAGTTTGTCACTTTAAATACAGTTAACAAACACTTCAAACACAATACTGGGTTTGTTTATAGTAAAATAACCAAAGAGGAGAATTTGGGTACAAAGGATAGAATTAGAAATGTTTACAAGAAATAGAGGCTAAGGACCTAACATAACTACTATTTTGTATCAAGGTAAGATTCTTACTGTTCTACTTCTGATCTTAGATGGCTGACCTACCCCTTTGGTCAACATCTTCCACAAAATCCAAAGTGCTCAGTTCCCATGTATCCTTAAGTGAACGGTCACTTGATGTTCTTTGACCTTCTCTTATAGTCCAGTTAGCCTTTGAATTGATGTCTTCTGAAGGTTGACCCTCAAAATAAAATTCAAATTGTGAGAAAGGAGACGTGGAGCTTGCCGAATGAGGACCCATCCTACTTTCCTTCCTGCGCGCCCCCCCCCACCCCCCACCTTTTGTTTTTAAAAAATGCAAACTGATCTGTTCCTTCTCTTTTGCAATGCAAATGAATGGCCACTTGCTGTCTGATTTCTTATTGAGTTTGATGACACCTGCTGGAAGCATCAGCTTGTGCTTACTCTGAGAGAAACCTGCTTATCCACTCCCCAGATGTATCTGATAAGCACGCTTTTCTTCCACATTTCCTTCTGATGATCTCTTGGGTGTTTCCCATACATACACCATGCAAGAATATTAATGGTAACTGTGTTATTAATTTTCCATTACATGTATCTGATATGGTGTGACATTTATGTGTTGGGGTACTTTGAATTGGACAGTGAACAGACTCTCACTACCACATACCTATGAGCCTCTTGCACTATGATGCAGCTAGGGTGATTCACATCTCCCTCACTTGAACGAGGTGAAAATCCATTCCACTAGAGCACAGGCAACCTCCATAGCATCGCTTTGAAAAGTGCCCGTGTTGGATATTTGTAAGATTTCAGCCTGGAGTTCTTTACACACTTTTACAAAACATTGTGCTCTGGTTTAAACTTCTTCTGCTGACTCAGACTCTGGAATTGCAGTGTTACAGTTGTCTACATTTCCTGCATCCTTGCTACACCCTTCCTTTGAGGACTGCTTGCCAGTCACCCACATGTGAACAGACATAGGGGTTGGCACTTAAAAAAGAAAGAGAGGTTTCTTGCCTATAACTATAAGTTCTTTAAGATGCATGGCCCTATTTATATTCCACACCTACCCTCCTTTTCCTTTGCTTTGGCTCATGACTGGATTCCTGGCAGACAAAGAAGTGAAAAAGCAGTCAATCTGCACTTCCCCTTGTTCTTTACCCCTCGGAGCTGAGTTTGTGGAAGTCTGGGGTGCAGGCATGCACCAACTATTTGCAAAAGATTTTTGGGGTCCCTAAAATGGTTAGGATGCCCAATTCCTTACCATTTTTCAAAGCCTGGGCTTTGAAATTGTTTTGAAGAACACTTCATTATTTAGAGGTGCATAATGTAATCATTATAAGTGTTAGTGTGGCACAAAGTTTATTAAATTTTTTTCTTTCCAATTATGCACTTTCTTTGTAGATATTAAGATTGCATTTGCATATAACTGGCAGCATTCAAATATAAAGTAGTCATTTTATCAAGTGTAAGTAATGGAATAAAAGAGGATTGCATTCAATTATAGCAAT